ATGTAATCCACTGTTTTTGGTAATAAATGATGGTAAATCAAGTACTAAAAAGAACATGGAAGTGATTGAGTGGTTAAGTTGGTTTAGAGCCTTGTTGATTAGAATGCTCAGGAGGTGCTGTCCAATAGTTTTTTACTGCAAATAGAAGCTTCTCCATACGATAAGATCCATCTTCAGAATGCACAATTTGACTGCTCCAGTTCAACTTATCGGTTATCGTCTTGATTTTCGTCAATATATCGGTGTTTTCTCGGAAGATTACGCTTCCTTCTGGTCTCAGAATTCTGTCCATCTCAAGTAGAATATCTTCCATTTCACATCTGCAATGCAGATTCAGCAAAACATCAGTTTCGCATCGTTTAGATGCGCTTGGAAATCAACATAAACTTGTTTTCTAAAGATGTAACAGTCCAAGTCCAAATCCAAGCAGATATTATCCTTTTTGGGTTTGTTTTTAAAACGCGTCTGTTATGACAAGGTTTCAACACTTTTCGTTCATCTATAAAGAATGTTGAATGTTTCGTTATCTCTCCTTTTCCTTTTGGGTTTTCCCTCAAGGTTTTTAAAATGCGTCTATTAGGGAGAGGTTTCAACACCCTTATAGGGAATGTTTCGTTCCTCTCTCCTTTCCCTTTCAAGTTTCTCCTCAAGGTTTTTAAAACGCGTATGCTAGAAAGAGGTTTCCACAATCTTATAAAGGATGTTTTGTTCTCCTCCCCAACCGATGTGGGATCTCACAATCCACCCCCTTTAGGTCCCAGCGTCCTCGCTAGCACTCGTTCCTCTCTCCAATCGATGTGAAATCTCACAATTCATCCCCTTTGAAGCCAACAAGCGTCCTCGCTGGCACTCGTTCCTCTCTCCAATCAATGTAAGATCTCACAGAAGAAACTATTCAGAAACAAAACTTCACAATTCCATAGTCTATCGAAGAAGAGAATACCTATTCTCATAGAGGCTAAAAACTGAATCTGCATGAATGAAGTCATAAGTTCTTGGATATGTAGACATTGCCTCACACCTGCAATGCATCCACAGGACATAAGATACTCAGATCAACAAAATACAACGAGCTTTTTTATGTTCAATCCCATATCAATTTCTTTGTAACAACTATAATGTATGTAGCTAAATGAGAAAGCCCATCTCTTATGACTCGCTCAATGGGCATACCAAAACATGAAAAAACACGAACATGAATCTATACAGCCTTAAGTACTTACCAATCTTGATACGTGCCGATCAAACCCCTATCGTATATAACTCCGAGCGTATTGACTTTGACATCCACAGGGACAACATTCATCACCCAAACTGGGTCATCAACCAGAGCAGCAGCAAATCCACCCAAGAAAGCATTCATGTCTAAGAAATTGCGGTACCGTCCAGGCTGACTCAACTGATTGTTGATGGTTCTGTAATATGACAACCTCTTCCTCCATAGCTCAGAATCATGAATGAACGTTTCTTCAGTGACCCCTTTTACAGTTCCCCTGCTAACCCTTTGTGGGATTGCACTTAGCCTCTCTGGCCATCTTGCCAATTTCCCTCCTGCAATTTCCTTACCGCTTGAAACTTGTGGCAAATGCGTCAAACAAGCTTGCATTTCTGTATACCTGAAAGGACAAATTCAAGCTCCAAAATAAGAAATGGAAGAGAAAAGAAAACTCAAGCTCCAAACCTATGAAGAACATCATACCAAGCTTTGTCAGGATCTTGGGCCTTGCAGAAAGGTGGATTGTTGCTGTTCTTGGGGTTGGTTTTGCAGTCCAAGTGATTGATGGGCTTCTGCCAAATGGCAATATCACCATCTTCCACAAGCTTAGTCCAACAGAGACTTTTGGCTAACCTTTCAATGGCTAGCTGTTCAGAATTGAGATCTTCCTTTGTTCTTTGCCAGCCTTTCCAGTGTTGCTTCAAGTTGATGGGAGGGCCTGAGAGGATCCAGTATCCGCCGGGGCGGAGAACACGATCGACTTCGATGAGGAGGATGCCATCTACAACAACATCAAAGGAAATTGAATGAGTTCAAATAGGTTTGTGGAGATATGTTCATGGAAAAGAATACCATGTTGTGGCCATGGAATGAGGCAGCGAGAGCAATGAGCCATGTCAAAGGCAGAGGAAGGATAAGGCAGTCTCTTGGAGGAGAGAACGCCAATGAGCGCAGGAACTCCTCGCTCCAAAGCGAACTGAACTTGTGCTTCGTGGGTGTCCCTTGGCGCAAACGACATGGTTACAATGTCCCTTGACAGAAGATAAGCTCCCCAACTTCCCACCTTCATCATCATCAACAAATCTTTATAAATCTCCCTTCTCTTCTCCATTCAACCATGCCTTACTCCATCAAAACGTATATTTACATATAATTTTCTTTAAACTTCATCAAGCATATACGTCTTAGGCTTAGCTATGTTCGAGAGAAACTTATGACATCGAACCTTAATTGAACATATCCGTATCTTAACTGTGTTCAACAACTTTAAATTATATTAGATTCAATCGACATAAGGTTTTTGAGATAAGGAATAAACAAATTATAGATAAATTCAAACGACAATTTTTTTTTTTTTTTTTTTTTTTTTTTTTTTTTTTTTTTTTTTTTTTTTTTT